CACAAAACTGAGAGCAAAACAAAAGGAATTAATTAGTTTGAAGAATGCTACTAAAGCTTGGAATATGAACTCTGTGCAGTATGAACTGCACAGAAATTGTTGGCTTCAGAATCAACCTTAAATTCTTTGGCAAGTAAGCCACATAAGCTTGATACAAACCACAAATACATTTGACTTTTACCCAAACAGAGTCTTTAGCCTTTCTAATTTGTTGCTGGATGTCATACTTACCCATTTTGTTTTGGAGATAAATATTCTGACTTTAAAAAGTTGGCTCCTTTGAAAGTGCAGCTTGGTTTTTAAAGCAATGAGATTTCCTTCTTTTTTTTTTTTTTTTCCCCAAAAAGAAATTTCCAGTTTGTGGCTGGTTTTTGTTATATGTTGGACTATCTAAAATGAAGAGGAGACTGAGAGTTCTTCAGCACAATGTGTAGCTTCAGTGTGTTCCTTAGAAATGAATACAATTTCATGATATTGCTGTGGATTTGAACAATAAAAAATTGCCATCTGAAATCTGTAGAAGTTAAGAAAAAAAAACCCATACAAACAACTGAAGAAGTTGCACCATAATCATAAGGAAGGAGTGACAGAGCTGGAAATTGAACCCGGTGATCCTGGGTTCTGCTCCCTGTCAAAAAATGTTTCATATAACAAGATAATTGACAAAAATGTTGGGTTACAAATTAGAAAAGGTAGTATAGTTCCATTTAAATTTCTGGATAGTTTGCTGGGGTAAATAATCTATGAGCTATATTTTTTCATTGTAGAGTTCCATAGACAGTTCACAAGTGTTTTCTAACTAGACACGTTGTATATGAAGAGGAGTAAAAGTGGAAGAAAAATTAATGAGAGACCTTTTAGTAGGGAACCATGACTGTCGCAGATGGAGGGATGCTCTTCACTTATAAGACAGAAGCAGCAATATATTTATTGATGCAAAACAGCGATTTAACAAAGTTTGGTAGTAAATGTGACAGTGGTTTAAAAAGATTCAATGGTGAGGCATACTTGGTTATTTACCGCATAGAGGACAGGGTCAGACAGAGCTGCTGGGAGGACCCTCCCATTAAGTCATGAGGTTCAGAAAGGAGCCCCTTGCTTTCAAACCTCCTTCTCAGAGAGGAGTCTAAGTGCAGCTCGATCTAATCCTAGTCCCAGGCTTGGTCAATGGTTTATGTCCAAAGGATTATATATGCACAATCAATGCTGTATATCACTTAGCTAAGATTTCAAAATTTAGCATGCTGTTAATCACTTACTGTAAATCTGTTGTGGCAAGGAATCTCTCAGCCTCAAGGAATAACCTTGAGAGGCATCCCTAGTTAAGGGGAGATCCTGGCGTGCAGCCCACTGCTGTGCAGGAGAGCTCAAAGGGCTCTTGGGCTACTCACTATTTAGGGGGTAAAATGATTGTTTCATAGACATATTTGCATACCAACTGTAGATGTTAGTTTCTTCCAAATTAGGCTTGAGTCACATGTTGCCCAGCACTGCGGTTAGGTGTGCACATTGCCCTAAATTAGCCCTTGGCTATTGTGTTGTTATCTGTCTCCCCTGAATCCACTTTGACCAGATGCATCACAACTGCCACTGATGGTTATCGCTTGAGCAGGGTTATGGAAGAAGGTCAGGTTGGGGGTGGAGCACACCATCGCGATGACCATGGAAAGGAAAAGATAGAACTGAAAATTTGAATCTCAGATATATGGTATTTCTTTCCAGTAAGATTTTATTTTTGGTCTTTTTGTTTAGAGTCTTTGGACATATTAGCTACCGTTCAGACTGGGAACTGGTGAAGGTGGACTTCAGACCATCCTTCCCCAGGGAGTGTTCTGATGATGACTATGAATCTTGGGAGCTCACAAATCTACAGGTATTCATGGTCTTATGTTAACTGCCACAACTTTTCTGTAGCTTTCAGATTCATGTGGAACTATGTGCTAGAAAAATGTTTTCAAATAGGATTTGGATGCTACATCCCCCACTTTGTTCTCCTTATGTTGGTATTTGCTGATTTTGCAATAGTTTAAAATGGAGGAGAGTTTTTTATTCTCTTTGGTTGTGCGATCTGTGTCCTGGGAAAGGCAGAAGTGTATCTGGTGGTCTGCCATAATAATAGGTGGTCCTGCTGGATTGTGAAGCATATACCATAAACTAAAGTGTGTAATATTGATTGAAGAAATTTTAACATGCAGTCATACGTTCTGCCAACTTCCTGACCACATACTGTACTCATATATAAATTGCCATAAGTAAAGCCTATTCCAGAAGTAATTTAGGTTCTCAGTGGACCGATCATGTAATGAGGTCCAGTTGTTTTGGGCAATACCCTTTCTGCAGTAATGCATTAAGGCTGTGCTAATCCTGGTTCTCTGGCCAAATCCAGTTTGGGGAAGCTACATTCTCTATACAGTATATTGATTGAAGAGACCACATTAAATGGAATATGTCATATTTATTCATAATAATTCTGAAGGTTATGTTTGTGCTTCTTCCGTATATTTGTTCTGTTGCTCTCTGCAGAGTTGGGGTTTTTTTGCATACAGCCCTGTGTTTTTGCAGCTTTTCAGCTCTCATTTGCTAGTTCTCATGCCTAATTTTATACTTCTTGTTTGGGAATGCTGCGTATTTACTAAGAATGTTATGCAGATCTGAGCCTAAAGAATAACAGTATTTTGGGATATTGGAATTGAAATATCTTTCAGAAATTAGAAGCTACTAAAATGACTTTGACAGAGTACTTGCAGCTGCCCAGTTAACAGTCGAGTGTGTTCAGATAGTCGGAATTCAACCCGTGTCCACATGGTTGGTGCTTTGTGTTGAATGCCGACACAAGCGTAGTGATTTAGGTAGAAATTCAGCCATCTGTATCCACACTACGTTTTCAAATGGCCAGTTGTAGGGTTGTGCCTAGATTGTGCATGCATGAAACGGGTTAAACCGCACTTGAAATTTTGATGTACATCTTTGGATTTGTGCCCTGAAGTACAGTGTACGTTACAACTCTGTAGTGGCCCATCAGTCGATGGCGGTGCCTGAGAGCTTTCTGTACCTATACGTTTGAATATGAAAGAGTTGATACAAGTTTATAGTCTTGGCAGCAAGACCAGCCTTTCTCGTGACAACATGAGGTCACGTCTGTGTGGTGTAGGTTACGGATGTGCAATAAGTCCGGTGCTTTGGTGTTCAGGGTGATCGTTGCATCATGGGCCAGCAGCGGAGCTTTCGGAAAAGGAAGATTTCATCGTGGTGCATTAAAGGGAGAAGTTTCACATCAGCTCTTACATCCACAGTTTGTGAATGTGTGAACTCTGATTTCTTATGGTGAGTCTGTGTGTGGACCTTTTCATTTATTGCTAGTAAATAGTTACTTAGAGTTTGAGCTGGGGTTATTTTCCGCCTTTTGCCCATCTCTCCACATAGCCTGTATAAACAAATAGGCAACCTGTAATTTGAATAACAGGTTGCTTTTGCATTTGCTGTTGTTTAAAAACATTGCCATGTTTTAAGCATTTGTTTCACCTGACTGAACAAATCCTGATATTTTTCTCTTTTGGTCAAGACTTGAAAAATGACCATTGTATTGATTTGTAAGGCAAGCAAACCCTTTCTATTTGCAAATGAAGCAAAAAAATAGAAGAAATGCTTTGGTCTGAGTGGGAAAGGAAACCTTTTCAAAATCTAAGCTAGCAAGAAGTACCAATTTTGCAGAAATGACAAAGTAATTACAACCAGCCTTTCCCCCAGGTGTACACAACTCCCGTTGAAATTACTTTGAACAGAACTGGCTTCATCAACTTGTATGTTCAGCTGGTAGAATATTAAGAAAATCATTTTGCTCTTAAAAAAGTAGTCTCATCCACCCCAAATTAGACTGCTGAATGAAGTGAGGATAGTAACACCCTTGGTGTTAATGTTTTTCAGTGATTATGGCTTTGAGCGCTCTGCACCTCTGAAGTCGGAGTCTAGCAAATGCTTTGCTGACTTTTGGTTTAACCCAGAAGCACCTCCTGAAGACTGCGTGCTGGGGCAGGCATACACCAGCAGCACTGGGTAAGCTGATTTTCTGTTTAGCTGGCTTGTAGAGGCTTCCAGAGCAGGCAAGAACTTTCCACCGAAGGGCCACAAAAGTGATTTTAGGGAAATGTAAATAAGGCAAACTGTGAAGAAAAAAAAAAAAAAGGGAAATGCAAAAGTTCTGACTGACTTAAAGCATGTGCAAAAGCTTCCTACAGAATAACGAAAGAGGAATGTTACTTTACATGTTCACAGCAGTTCAAAAAACTAACCCATTTGAGAAGAGGGGGAGCTGTCTTGTTCCCAGTATTTTTATTTTTTATTTTGTAACTGCATTTTGTAACCATTGCTACACTTCTAATAGGAATGTCCATTCAAAGGCTTTTGGTTTTTTTAGCCCATTGCTTGGGTTCAGGCCAATTTTCAGTTTGAATCCAATGAATTACTCTGAGGAGCCAGTTACATCTCCCAGAACTTCCCGGTCTCTCACTTCCATAGGGGTAAGGAGTTTTGTGGAGAATATTCTTTTCCTGACCATATGGGACACTCAGAATCAAAGGAAGGCTTTAGTAACTGTAAACAATACCACATAGAATATACACTACAATGTAGTCTGACGTCTGTGCTGAGAATAACTTGCAGCTGGCATCTATTCTGGCTTATCATAACATCATCTCTGTCGGTTGTGGAGATGAGAACCAAATGATGAAATGTCAAATCTGGCAATAGAATCACGGTCTCTGTGTATATTTGCCTTACCAAGGAAAACGATGCCTTTTGGGTTGCGGCTGACAGCTGTAATATACAGAATAGCAATTCAAAAGAGTGCAATCTGACTACAGTTTTAAAGGATGTTTAAAAATAACATACCTGAGTGAAACCAATCTGTAAATAATTACTCTACACATCCAAGTATTTCATTATTAGTTCTTTAAAAGTGTTAGATTTTTCACTCTTTTATACTGTTATGTTAAATAAATGCTTTAAGTGTTTTAAGAAATGCATGGATTTGAGAGCAGCGGATAAACAATTGGTTCTGGGTTAATGCAGAAGCTGCTTGGTCTAATTTCTTCCTGATCTTTGGGGTTTGGACCTCTGGAGCATTGAAGACTGTTGAAGACTAGGAAAGGGGATGGCAGAGAGGACAGCAGACTATCTAGCTTCTGGAGGGCTAGTCAGATGTGTTTCTAAATTTGAAAAGGCAGACTCTTCTAATGCATACAAATGAAATCCTCATCTGTTCCACACCCTCTTTTTTCAACAGGTTTTACTCAGTAAAAACAATGACCATCATCAAAGTATTTGCATCATGAGTTGCTTTTGATCATCTGAAATCTTGTCTATACGTTAGCTACCATCACACTTGCGTTCAGTACCTCTGACAGCATTCTCCTGCTCACCTCTGCTCACTGCTTACTGGTTTTGCAGGTACAGGAAAGTTGTTTCTAATGTGTGTGAAGGTGGTGTAGACCTGCAGCAGAACTTAGCACAGCACATGTGTCCACTGATTGCTCCCAAGGGACTTCAGATCAGCATCAGAGAAGCAAGCCTGGCTGTTAAGCCTGGGGAAGACATCACCTTCATTGTCAGACAAGAGCAGGTAGTAATGAAAATTGGTTTTATGAAAGTTTCCTTGCTATTTTTATGGTTCCTTTCTCTCTTAGCTGCTCTGCTGCTGAATGAGATTAAGTTGTTCTTATGACAAAGATGAATGACTCTCTAAATGTTGAAACTTCTGTTTTCAAGTGAATCAGACGATCCAGTAAACTCATTGAACCATCACGTTCTGTCCACAGAATGGGATTTGTCTCCTCAGCAGCATGGTCAGTCATGATTCCTTAAAGGCATTGGCTGCTTTGAAAATCAAAGGAGCTAAATTACCAAAGTCTCCTTGTACTGAAAATTTCAACTGCTGTATCAGAGAAGAACAGAAGTGCAGAGAACATTTAATATTCTGGTTTAAGTGGGTTTGAGAATCTGCCTTTCAGACAGGAATTGAGCAAGGCTTTACAGAAATCAGGAAACAGCACAGCATAAGAACATTTATTATGTATTGGTTGTATTGCCAAAGATACGTTTGGGTTTTTTTTTCCTGTTTATTGAGAGAGACAATGCCATAAGGCCCTGATGAATGGCAGCAAGTAACTTTTGGATGAATTGTTTGCAATGGGTATCTTTCTTAATGCTTGCTTTTTAGTATTAGGCTCTAACTGTTGTGCTCCGGTTACCGGAGTATTGCACTTCCTGGCTAACCCCACTGATTTGCAAGAACGTGAAGAAAGTTCACACATTTTGGCAGACCCTTGCAGTATAAATTAGGCACTTGGGATTTATTTCTGTAATGGAATCAAGAAGGTTACGTGTAGAATGCCGGGCTGCTTAATGCTTCATAGGGTCTGCATCCCAATGCTTGCAAGGCCCCAGCAGTTGTGTGGCAAGTTATGCCACCTTCCCTTTTTATAATTTGTTTGGAAATGTTTATTATAACAATAGAGCATTTGGTTGCCATTTGGACTTTAATGATTTCTATTGGCGGTTTGACTTTTTTTCCTACTGTATAGATTCTGAAGCTTTCATGAATCCTTGTGGCAATACGTGAAACACTTAAAATTATTCAAAAGTCTTCAGAAGTCAGGGATCTCAAAGGGAATCCCGTGCTGTGTTTTCTGATGAAGTCGTTGCTCAGTACATCGAACTAAAAGCAGATTTAGAAGAAATGTAACCGTTTGCTGCCCCCTATGGCTAAGAATAATATTTATACTCAAATGTCTTGAGTGTTGCTTAGGATTTAATCTATACAATACAGTCTAATGAGAATTCATAACAATTCTTGAGTTTAAGAAGCAATTCTACTGGGATAAACCATAACATACCACTTTCTCTGCTGAACAAAATTAATT